TCTCCGACCTGTTAATTGGTTTCCTTTTATAGGGTACAGATGTTAACTTTGATGAATCTTTTCTTAGACTTCCAAAAACCTTGAATTTGTTAACGATGAATAAAATGAAATTTGTTGCATGAAAAAAATTCACTTTAAAGCTTCATGTTGATGCATTTCAAATAAAATATTAATTTTCGGAGTTATCCTTCCTGGCTGAGGATCGGACATCCTTAAGGACTATGACCATAGAAGTTTTAAAATTTTATAGACATGCAGGAGCCGAACTATGGAATGAACTTCCTGAAACAATTAGAAATGCAACCACAATTAATCAGTTCAAAAGTCAAATGAACAATTGGAGATGAGATCCCTGTAAGTGTGGCTCCTGCAGATCTTAATCTTCATATTTTAATCGACAGCTTTTTGATCAATTTCTTTTCATTTTTTTTTATTTAGTTTTTTTATGCCCCCTTAAACGAAGTTTTGGGGGCATATAGTTTTTGTCGTGTCTGTCTGTCTGTCTCTCTGCCTGTCTGTCTGTTTGTACCTTTGTTTGTCTGTTTGTCCGCAAAAACTTTAACCTTGCCCGAGTGAAGCTATGACTTTCATATTTCACATGTGTATTTCTTGTGACAAGACCTTTCTTTGGGTACCACCAGATTTGACCTTTTGACCTTGACCTTGGAGTTTGACCCACTTTTACATGAAAATTTTCAAATTTTACTTTGGCCAAATCTTTTGAACAGTAGACACCAGGACATTTATACTTCACATGTGTAATGTTTGTTAAAGGACCTTTTACGGAATACTAACAACTTTGACCCTTTGACCTTGACCTTGTAGATTTTCGTACTTGTGAAGAAAACTTTAACCTTGGCCATAACTTTTGAACAGTTAGGAATAGGGCTTTCATCCTTCATATATGTAACCCTTGTGAGAAGACCCTTCATTGGATACCAAGAACTTTGACCATATGACCTTGTCCTTTGAGATTGACCTACTTTAAAAAGCAATCCTTGACTATAACTTTTTAAGAGTTAGGGCTAGTGCTTTCATACTTTACATATTTGATCCTTATGACAAGACCTTTCATTTGATACAAAAAAACTTTGACCTCTGACCTTGGAGTTTGACCTTCTTTAAAAAAAAATGAACGTTGACCATAACTTCTTAACGGTTAGGGCTGGGGCTTCCATACTCTACATAAGTATTCTATGTGGAAAGGCCTTTCATTGGATACCAATTACCTTGACCTTTTGACCTTGACCTTGGAGATTTTTGTACTCATTGAAAAAACTTTTAACTTTGGCCTACTTTCAATTTCACAACTGTTTTCCTGTGAGAATACCCTACTTTTGGTACCAATTAATTAAATTTGCATTTAAGAAAAATTCAATCTTTGCTATGTTGCCATACGGGGCATCAGTGTTTTAAAAAACACATCTTGTTTTAGTGATAACATTATGTCGGTCAAAAGCTCTATAGAGCTTTTGTTAATTGTTGTAAAACTCCGACTTAAATAACATTTTCTGATCTGATCTGATATAATGAACCTTGCATAAAGGAAGACAGTGTTGAAACCTGCTTTGTCGGCAGGGACCAGCACATGCTGATCATGCATGTTACTAATCTTTATTCTTTTTCAGTTCTGGATAATTGAATACAGAAGGATAGATAGTTTTCATGGTGCTCCTCAATCTTTCAATACGCGACTTTAACAAGAATCTGATGCATTTAATTCATTCTGACAAGGTGTCAACGTATTTTTTTCATAACTGGCCCATCGTCTGGCATAAATTTCAACAGAATCCATAATATTGTGAAATTCCTACGCCAGTTGAAGGATCGGGGTTCCCTATATTAAGAACCTTTTAAAATAAGTGATCTAAGGTACTGATTATCAATTATATTTACGTCTGTAATAACGTTTCTAGCAGGACTACTGAGTATACTCATAGAAGAACATGAACACGATGGAGGATTTTGTTTTAGATACTAAATATACAGGCGATGTAAAGTAGTTTTTTTAAATTGAAAAGTTTGGAAGCAATGGTCGATGTATATTTGTAGGAACTATAAGGTGTAGTCTTTAACTTAAAATATGGTGGAAAAAAAGACTGGACTTTTTTGTGATTAAGAATATATTATTACTTATATTAACCGGATCAATTCCGGTGTTCCTGACTTACAATCATGTTGTATTTTTTCCAGAGACACAGAGATATTGATATTTTCAAAAATTTTGATAGGATGATAAATATATATGTAAATTAGGTTATACAAATACTTTATAGTACAACATTGCAGTTTCAGATGTATACTATAAACCAACTTTTATTCTTGTACCTTGTCATCGCGAATAATTCTCGCTGCGAACCTGTCCTTAAATTATATGCGTTTACTAACAACAGATCCAAAAAGGCTTGTTCGCGAACATAAATTGTCGCGAACTAGTTCATCCCTATTAATTCGCGAAATAAAGTCGTCGCGAATAAAAGTTGGTTTACTGTATCTATTTTTCAATTATGACAAGATCAAAATTTCACTAGTTAATCATTGGTATCAAAATAATCATATGCATGTTATAAAGCGGATAATGAGAGAATGTGTTAAGGAAAAATTTAAATTCATATGATAAACTGTATTATTTATTCTTGAATTATGTAAACATAGTGAACCCAAGTCCCTTACCCTGGCAATAAGGCATTCTTCTATGACGTGATGGGATAATAAAAAATTGTAAAAAAAAAAGTTTGTTTGTATTTTTTTCATTACATAAAAACATGACGTCGCGATGGGATAACAACCTTGTTAGGGAAAAAAAGATTTTCCAATGCAAAAACCATCCTTCGTTGTTGATATGTAGCAAAACTAATCCGAAAGCATATTTTATCAATATTTCTTTTTAAATCTTGTGACTTAGTTTTATGTGACCAAAAACAAATTTCTTTACCGTATGAAAAAATCAACACTTCTTAAAGTAAATTAAATGATTTTAAAATGCGAAGTTAAAAATATAGTATTGAAATGGTTAGGACAACTAATGTATAATGTTCGTGTAGTATTACGAAAATATAGCGTGTAAGGTAAAAGCATAAGAACTACACTCCATGTATTCGTGTTTATCAAGAACATGTTTTTGAGTAATTGAAAAAGTTCTAAAATTCGATACATTTTTCAACTGTTTTTGAGTTGGATAAATCTTCAGTCGGAACGTCATATTTATGCCCCATAATGAATATGGCCGGTGGTTATGGTGTTTGTCGTGTCCATCTTTGGTCCTTCCGTCCTTATGTCCTTCTTTCTGTCCTTTCATCGAGCGTTGCTTTTAGTTCATTTCCAAGTTCAGTTTCAAAGAAACTATTCAATGGGTTTATAGAAAACTTGGTATGCTGATACATATTGGAAATGATCTAGCTTAATAATAATTCTTTGACATTGACTTTTCGTTTTACTTTGACATAACTTTTCTCTCAGTTAAAAAAAAAATCAAGATGGTGTGATCAAATATCATTTGATTATAAAAACTGATGTTAGCAATTAAACTTACATGTAATTAATATTTTTCTATCTTGGCATTTTTCTTTGACCATTATCTCATTTTTTGTTAAATCAAAGTTTACATGTAACTTAGTTTAAAAAAAAACAATTTAATTAAAAAAAAAACAACAATATTAAAAAGTTGAACTTTGTTGGTCACCTGATCAAATTATGTGAAGCCTGAAGGGCTTCTCAGTAGATTTGATCACGTATCAACTAAGTTTATTCCCAATTAAACTTGTAATCATTGTTGTAAATCGCTAATATTTATATTTGAGACGATTACTTCCGAGTTAAAATGCATTTATTGTTTTGTAGTGACGCGCAATGACCTAAAAGATGTTTGGTTTATGAGTTCGCCTCGTTTAAACATTTGAATATCTACAATTATGTTCAGCGGTCCAGCTGAGGATTTATAGATCTTTTTTATATAATGTACATTTAAGAACAATGATCCGTACAGAGTATAATATTACTATATAAGGATTTCCTAATAGACTTAAAGCCAAAAGCGGTGAAATCGCCTGTTGTATCCTACACAACGACGAAAGGTTTTATAGTATTTTAAACATTTTTCTCACCGACGGAAGGTTTATAAAACATCTATTGAATTTAAATTATCTATGTTTCAGTAATTATATCTTTTTCATTGCATTTAAGTATATAATATGTGTAAACAATCTTAAGATATCATCCCGCCGTTTGATTTCATCCGGCTATGACCTATAACCTTAAAAAAGTTCGTACAAAATTGAACATATTTTCTCTCCAATAGGTTTATCTAAGAAAAATATTTGCTAATGCAAATATCATAGTGTTTTCAAACTTCATATCCTGATAAAAATTTATGAGAGATATTCAACTTCATCAACACTTTTGTACCTTGACCTTTCTTTTGACCTTGACTTCACCTTTTTTTTATTAGTGTTTAGAACGGTTTTAAAGAAACTATTTAAGATATTCTTATCAAACAGCATTTACTTACACATATAAATGATAGTTATATCCAAAAGTAATATCATTTTTGGACTTTGGCCATTCTGTGCATTTACTTCTATTCTAAAAATTAATGTTAAGGTAAGTTTTAAATAAACAATACATTTTTCTCCAACATGATATTTTTATACATATTAGTGAGTGCTTTTCAGCTGTATCAGAATTTCAATTTCAATTTTAAAGAAACCATTCAAGATATTTTAATCAACATCATGCACTTGTATAGAATTTTCATAGTGGATTCCTATGTATACCTTTAGCGGACCATTCATGGCCTATGCATTTATTTGTGTTTTAAAAGATAGATTGCTAATAAAATGTATCTCAGAAATAGTTTATTATATTCTTAACCTTTGATGGCTAATATCTCAGAAATTAATATGAATAATTGAACTTAACATTGATTATTTTTTTTATACAATATACATTACCATAATGTATTGAAAAAAAGGTGATTTGTACGTTATGGACTATATTTCTCATATACCTGTTTCAAGTTCATGGAATTTTTCATTAGATTTCTGACAGTTTTTCACACATGATTAATAATACTGAATAACTCTGTAACATAGAATTCTTGAAAGTATATAAATGTACGTATATATAACATACATGATGATAGTGTTATCCTCATTGCCGATGTAATCACAATTTAGATCCGCTTCAAAGCACCCACGGTCTTTGTTTATTTCCAAACAACTTGAATCTGAAATAACGAAAACATTAAGAATGAAGCAATGACAAAATATGTAATTACATACTTTTAGTGCTGTTTTCAAATATGTAGCAAACTACATTTTTATTGTTTTAATACAAAATAAGTTAATCGATGAATTAACTCACTATTTGGGATTTTTTAATCCTAGAATTATAACAAGAAATCTGTGAGCCAATGATCACTAGGAATACCCCCGCTCTGATGCGATTAACATTATCATGTTGATATACACAAGTTCAAATACGGATAGATGCACAGAAAAGTATGAAGTTGACATCAGATTCATATCAAAATTAATCCCACCATATGGGCATTATGGCATGCCTCAACAAAGAGTGTAAAATTTTAAGCATCTGCAATGAGTAGTTGATAAGAAAACTGCGACGAATTTTTTTTAATGCATGAAACGGTCAGACACAGAGACAAACAGAAAGTTGATATCGGATTTGACTAAAAATGTATCCCACCGTATGGCACGCCTCAGAGAAGATTGTGTTAAAATTTCAAGCATCTGCGATGAGTATTTGATAAGAAACTCCATTGAAAAATTTGCTATGTATGCAACGGACATACGCAGAGACAAACAGAAAGTTGACATTAAATGTGACCAAAAATGTATCCCACCGTAAAGCATGCCTCAGAGATAATTGTGTTAAAATTTCAAGCATCTGCGATGAGTAGTCGCTGAGAAATCTGCGACGAAAAAAAATTTTACGGACGGACAGATGGACGGACGGAAGGAAGGATGGATAGAGGGACGGACGGAAAGACGGAAGGACACACAAGGGTACAGTATAACCCTGTCTCCTTTGGAGCGGAGGTATAATCAATTGTGATTGCACTGTTTTAAGAAAAAAAAAAATTATTTCCAATATGTTTTCTAGTATTGTTATCAAACAATTTAATCCAAATTTAAACAACAAGTAACCGAAATCTTGTATGACTTTGACTTATGATTCCTGAGTTATTGAAATTGATATGTCGATACTCCCCACAATTAAAATAAAAATTTTCATCATCTCCCTTGCGCATCAGTAACAGCCTTGATTTTCTTGTGCATTGAGTTCACCAGAGCATTTATCTTTCTCATAGGATTATCATTCATGCGTTCCGACGTTAGTCTTAATGGTTGAGAGTAGCTGTGTTATTCCAAAGCCAACAAATCCCCCCGCCTAATGAATCCCACTAATTTTGGATTTAGAATAGAATTTACAGAATTTAGCTTATTTGGTAAATGTGAATGTTTGTAAGGGAGTCTCGACAAACACTGGCTACATTTTCTCAGCGTGAACATGCTAAAAACGTTACGCATTCGGCACGTACGTGCGCGTGTGAGAGTAAAATCGACGTAAAGTTGCCAAGCTTGCCTACCAAATTAGAGCAGAGAGTTTCTGTCAGTATTAGGGTGAAAATATGAGTATCATTGTCTGCTGTAAGAATATTGGATTCAGTGATAATGACTTGACAGTAACCGAGTTTGCATGATGAAAAGCCTTAATATATCGATGTGGCGTTGTTACGCGCCAACGTCACCATGGTTGGTTGGAAACCTTTTAAATTACTCTCTGATAACCGAAAAAAAATTTGGCTGAAAATTTTAAAACAAACTGCACAGCAACATGTTGTTGCCTTTTTATTCACTTCTGGAACTCAATTAATAGACACAATGTAACTTCCGTCAGCCATACCATGATTGCAGAAAATTTATACTGACTGCAAATATCGGAAAACGATGTCTGTAACTCTAATGCATCTCTTGACACTACAAATTGTGATCATAAAATTGTCATCATCAACCTGCACGTGTATTTCGCTTTTTATCACTTCCCCAACGCGATGCCATACATTTCATGGTTGAGTAGTTTTGACCAGCGATTTATTTGCACAGTAACCAAATTACACATTTGTCCAATTTTCATAATTTTCGGCCACATAGTTTATTATTTTTCGCTGTTATGCTATTTCGCGTTTCTTTCTCCTTTCAGTATAGATACAATGCCTTATTAAAGTTTTAAAAAATATTTTAATGGATTACCGTAAGCTATTCAACGAATACAATTTTATACAATCTTCTTTCTTCAGGAAAAAAGTGTATCACGAAATAAAAGTCATGACATGATATGCATATACAAAGGTGATCAAAAAGTTCGCGAATTAATTGAATTACTTCCAAAAAAAAAAAAGATAATATTTGGTTTCAGTGTTGATTATATTTTAAATAAGACCTCTAAGATTTTGATGAACATCGATATATGTCATTGTTCTGCTCATGCGCGAATCACATGATATAGGCGGTATTGTGACCCCCTAAGTAGCGGTCTGTCACAAAAGCTGAAAGATTTTTCTTAGTTTTATTTTTCTTTCCACGTAAGTTAATTTCTATAACAAGAACAGTTCATTTGTCAGAAATGGTCAAAACTCGGGAACACAGTGGGTGGATAAGAATATTCTTTCCAAAATTAAGCATAGCGACCATCAAAACCCAAATCTTCTTACACGGGAGAGACGGTTTTCAAGGTGGATAGATAATGGATGCCTCCTTTTTATAATATCTAATTTTCTAAAGTAAACGAAATCTTAGGTATTTAATAATTATAATATTGTTGAAATATTCAGATATTTTTCAATGCGTAAATTGGATGTATTTGATAGCAAATTGCTGAATTAAAAAGACATCTCATTTCAAACTTGTTTTCACTGAGCAGCATAACAAGTATCATTTTTAACCATCTGTTTTCCTTCACTAAAACGATCAATCCAAACATTGATTGCATTTCTAGGAATTTTATGTCTTAATTAACTGTGTACAAATTAATATAAGGCTACTTCAAATGGATTTCCAAGATATACAATAAATTTTATAGTCATTTCTTGAACGAGTTCGACTGAGACAATCTTTTTTTTTGTCACAAGTTACCTACATAGTGACGTCATTTTCACTTAGTAACATCACAAACAAGGAGTAAAGCTTTATTCAGCATACACTTTTTATACAACCTGTGAAAGGCTATGTTTGTATCTTTTTTTCTAATCTGAATTGTGGTTTTGTAGATATAGAGATAGTTTTGGAACTCTTTGATCATCTCTCGTACATTAAAAAAAGTCATGCATAGTTAAAATGGTTGAAAGTTTCACTGAATATTTCTGTCTGTCCAGCATCGGATTTAGAAGGCCCTATTTATAATGAATTTTTATAATTCACTATAACTGAAATGGAATAAATGATAACATCCGCGGAAAATGTTATTTTCAGATTTAAAAAATTTGTCATGTTGCTACTTACAATTAAATAAATCACTGCTAAGATGGTCTTGCTCAGGACATCCAACTCTAAATTTCGTGCAGCTAACTTGTGTAAGATTTCCAGGAGGATACAGAAGGAGACAATTGCCTGTTAAAAAGAATAGGATGTTTCTTTGGTATCAGACATAGATAACAGTCAAAATGTTTTATTCAGTACATCTCATATTTGTAATTTAAACGAATCTTTCATGATAAAAGTGGAAAGCCCAAAGTAGTAATATCATGGATTAAGAGATCTGTGTGAATTTAAAGTTACTAGATGTTGGCATTCGGGGATAAAGCCTAGATATGTTGACTCAAGTACAATATAAGACGAAAATAATTCCATTTTTTTTACTCGTAAGAATATATTTCTAAAATGACTCTGTACCTGAGAACCACCATATAACTTTAATAAATAATGTAAGCAGCAATTCAGTGCAACTTGGAGGTTCCTCTAGGGGTCACAGAATCAACATGAACTCAAAATGCATCAAGTTTTACAATCCTTTTTCATTAATTGTCATACCTTTTAATTGCAACATAGGTGATTGTCTCTAAAAACCCATGTAAAGTATGAAATATTAAAATCAAAGTTCAAAAACCGTTGTTTATGATTCAAAAATTATTATACGGTTAAATAATTATAGAGATGGTTTAAAATAAATTATTTTGAAGTAAGAAAAAAAATTTAGTTTGTCTTATCTATTACTGCCATAAAGTCGGAAAAAATCATTTAAAAATTAATATGAAATATTCGAAGATTTACATGTTGAATTTAAGATAAGATGTATTAATTGAAAAATAAAACAATTTAATTTACTAGTACTGTTTCTAATAATTCACTTAAATATTTTACAGTGCACCTTTATTCACCTCATAAACAGTAACATTAAACAACACTTATCCTTTCATGTTATCTTAAAGATAACGTTTACGCAGATAGTAAAAAAAAAAACGAAAACAACCTTTTGTACATATTACACCTACTATGATTACACTGTTATTATTAACTTTAAGATAAATAGGTCAATTACCTACATTTCATACTAATGGTCCTTGAGTATTTTTCGGAAAATTCTTCTGTTTTCACCCTTTGATCACAATATATTACAAGAACAAAAATCAATGCGTGATGAATTTCAAAAGGAGTGGATTTCTATTGCTGAATAAAAATAAACAATTAGAGTTTGGCCCATAAAACTCGTTTCTTATTATAGTTAGAATTTCATCTGTCAGTTTTCTAATTTTTACTCTTTTTGAATATAATATTACAAAAAACTGAAATAAAAGATTGCATATTATAAACTACGCACTCGTATTTATTCAAAACCTCAGATTCCTTTTGTTGCCCTTATTCTAATGGTGTCAAAATCGTATGAAGTCAAGAATCAAATTATTGAGATATGTTATTTTGAAAAGTTTTCATTCATATTTTTGAAATTTGTTATTGAATTTCATTTAATTATTTGAAATAATGCATGAGCTTTGACACACACAGTATTTGAAAAATGATTTTTAAAATCATATAATCTGAACTTTATGAATAAAATAGCAAAAAAAAGTATTAAAACTAATAAAAAAAAAAAAAAAAACGATGTCCAAATTTCCTCTCCAACATCACATGTATATACTTTTATTTTTTCATTTTTTCTTCAAATGGTAAACTATTATTTTCTTTAATTGATATAAAGTTATTATATGGGTATTTTTTTTTCAAATAGAAAAAAAAATTAACGTATCGCACTTTGCAGCATTTCGTTTATGTCATCTGAACATGGTAAAGTATTCTAAATACGGTATCACATATTATAGAGTACCCTAAGATTAGCATGTGTTCCTTTAATTTTATCCCATGAGGAAATTCTGTTCAAACTTATCGATGCATTTCTCTGGCTTTACAATTACAAAACAAATCACATTCCTATCCGTGCTAAAATCCAGAAATGCCAAATGAATCATAGTAAATTGTAAAATTGTTAAAAAATGACTAGTAGTGTAAACCTTTTTCGTTAAATCCCATTATTCTGTCATAACAAAACTCGAGAAGAGTTGTTATGTTCTTGTTCGGAATGCATAGGTACTGTAGAGTGTTGTTTCCATCATAAGAACAGTTAAGACGGGCTCCAGCTGTGTACCACTCCGATCGGTTTTTGGGACAGGAATTGACTTCATGAACAGGAAAACGGTACTGTGATATCACCTGTAAGATTGATATTTGTATCGTCACAAAATATACAATAATTCAAGGAAACACAATTATACAAATCAATGCCGCAGGAAACAAGGGAATCGCCCTCCCCCTCCCCCATTCAATTTTTTTGCATATATATATATAATTCTAAAGAGTGCATAGATACAATATGCTTGTGACCCCTGAATAATGATGTCTAGTGCCCTTTTTCCGAGAAGTTTTTGGAAGTTGAATCCCCCCCCCCCCCCCCACACACACACCGATATTATGTGGCCGTGACCCTGTCATCCCGCCGAAGTGAAAACTGGTTCCTAGGAACCTGTAGATGAAGTGTCAACATCATCTTGTTTATAAACAATAGTCACATTGGCCTTGAACCTTAATTCCATGATGAATGTTCGCTCGCAACGTCAAATCAGTCATACATTGTATTGGTTTTATTTGGACTACATATTGGGAAAAAAGGTAATGAGTACTATGCTTATAACATGTATTACATTGCAAAATCTTATCACTTAAATGTCATAGGATGTATGTAATTTTATGTCAAATTTTAGCGAAAAAAGGTATCAATTTGGCAACTTCGTGTGGTTTTCACTTCCTTGTTTCACTCATGCTTAAACATGACTCTCAAAGGTACAAGGAATAACTTAAATTAAAAGTAGTGGAGTGTGCCTATTTACAACGTGGATTCCAATTTGAATTTTGCACGGAATGACGTCATCAAAGTTTCGACCGATCAAAGCAAAGTTTATTTTTTTTTCTATTTAGGAGTATTCCTGGGTCATCAAATGCAAATCAAAAAGGTACCTCAAGGTAGCGTGTGACAAATCAAATGGAAGGTCTTGACAAATAGAATCAGCCTGGGGATGTCCCGAGGTCATTGAGTGCAAAATGAATAAAAATATCTAAAGTTATCTTGAAAGCTCTCAACGAGTAGAGTTTAGCTCGGGGTGGTACTGAGTCATCATGTGCAAAATGAAAAAGATTTCAGAATAATTTCCTGTGACATATCAAGTGGAAGGTCTCGACGAGTAGAGTTTAGCCTGGGGTGATCTGAGGTCAGTGGGTGCAAAATGAAATAAAGTTGCTTTAAAGTAATTTCATGACATATCAAATGGACGTATGGAAGAGTAGAATTTATTCCAGGGAGTCATTAGTCCAAAAATCAAAACCGGTTCTGCATGATATCGCGTAAAGTATCTAATTGCTATTGTCAATGATACGAGGTTTATGTACACTTGTAAAAAAGAGCTATTTGATGAAGTGATATGCTCCGCAAATATAATGCATCCGGGAGCCCCGAGGTGCGGCAATCTCTGCCGGAGATCTCGGAATTTTCCGTCATCAACTGTTCGATTTTTTTGTCAAATCGTATTTTGTTTTCATCCCATACTTCGTCAATTAAAGGAGTATAACCCTCATCATCATCTTCTTCACTGAAGTTAGTCATTGTATCATTGTCATTTGTGTCTTTTTGCAGCGGATAACCGTTTTTGATATGTTGTTGCAAATCATTATAACTGGCAAAAATAGTTCCCCATGTCGGGTATACCTTTTCAGAATTATGTTTTAAAAGCCATGGAAAGGAACGTAGATCTTTAGATACAGTTGGTTCTTTTGATGTCAGAGGATTGAACTGAGGATATTCCTGGGTGGATTTCTGGTAAGCCATTTTTTGCGTGCACCCTGAGGTCCACGCCGTAAATATATTAGCAAGGTTAAACCGGATGCGGAGGGGGAAACGACTGGCTACGCATGCGCGAGAATGCTAGAGAGTTTGTCCAATAGGCAACTTACCCGTAGAATAGTTCGCCCTATTCGAATAATTAGAATATGTCATTCATTGGCAAATCACTCTTTTAAGTCTGCATATCGTATTTATATATTCATTGGCGGATCCGAATTTCTCTTTTATACATGTACGTTTATATAAAAACACTAAACATTGATTCTATGGCACAAGCATTTTTAAAACTAGAAAGAAATTGCAGTATATAGATACATGTAACTTAACAACTTTAATAGGTCATTTCTCTCTCCTACCGAGGTCATTTCACCCCATTTTTACTTCGGTCTAATATAATACAGTGGAGCCTCATTCATCCGGACACTGTAAAATAAATTTATTTTATCAATTTATGACTCATGGGGCATAATGTCAATATTAAGGATACACCAAAGGTTTCCAAAGGGCAAAATTTAATTTGCTTGTAATTCTTTCATTAATAAAGATAACATATTCAAAGTATATAGATTGAACTTTAAAACCGTATCTCAGATTTTTGATAAATCTTCTTATTCAAAAGTTACATCCCTTTGTCTTTCGATGTTACCAATTTATTAGCCCAAATCTACATTTCCCCCAATAATTCAAGAACTGAGCAAGATATCAACACTTTGAGATTTAGTTTTGTAAACACACATTTGAGACATATTTTGGCCAGTTTTCAGAGAAATTGGTCAATAAATAAGGGAACTGAATCCTTTGAAATAATAACACAAACTGTCTGATCTTACTTTACAGTAGAGGACAAAAACCCATTACACAACAAATTCTGCCAAAGCTAGAAATATATGACACCTTGGAGATTCAACTTTGGATACCTGTCACTTATCCATATTTCCTATGCATATTCACAAGAATGGCAGGTTCTATTCTTTATTTAGGTGCTTTTAATGAAGTAAAATAGGTTCAATTCTGAATCAAAAAGATTTCCCGGCAAAATGGCAAGAGCTAAGCTCCACCTCCTATGTTATGGTCATTAGTGATCTGTTAGATCTCCTTCCCTAAATCTAGAGTCCCTGTAGTTTAATTACTGATAACCCCTGTGTGGCTAGTGAAGAATTCCCCAAGTGGTCACAGTGATTTATTGCTCCTTTCAGAAGCAGGCATTACAGACCAAATCAGAAGCTTCGATAACGGCACATTAACATGTGTCAGTGTTTATGTTTGATTATTGTTAAATAATTAGAAAACCATTTAATAATCAGCAAGAATTTTTCATGCATTATAAAGTAGTGAGTAGCATTGTTTTCCAAAAATCTCAAAATTGACAAAATTCTTGAAAAAAGCCTTTGGTGTATCCTTAAATATAACAATAAATTGATATCGTTGTCCAGCCCTTGCCATGTGGAGGCCTCTTCGGTAAGGATAATAATTTTGAAAAAAGAAAAAATAAACTCGAAACTTGGACAAATTATACATAAAGATTTGCTTTTGTGGATTTATCTCAAAATGTTTGGCGATACAAATACGTCAGAATGAAAAAATAAACTAGTTTTAAATTATGTATTGTGTCACTTCAGATTGATCTTATGAGAAAAAAGGGAGAAAGTAGATACATGTATAAAACAAAATATAATAGCTGGAGAACTGTTTCTGTCCGAAAAGAATCAAATATATTGACAAACCGGTCTATCAGTACATTTTTTTAGTGCTACAGTTCTCAAGCTAAAAATATAAATAATTTTCAGAAAACAAAGGATACTTCAAAATGTTAATTAGGAAACCATGTACACATGTGCAAGTATGTAAATATTTATTTTGAATAATTAAATATTTATAACACTAAATACAATAAGAACACGAAGGAAGCAATAATGTAAAATTACCATGAATATGAAAAAAAATGAACTACAGTATGTGATTTCGAAAAGGAACTTACTTGGTGTAAACAATAGACACTTCCACAAATTTTAAGATGTTTAAAATAATACATGTAGTTTATTACAACATTTAAATGACATTTGCATGTATGAATCCCTTAAGAAAAAATAATAAAATACCCACTCCCTTTATTAAAAATAAAATGTTATCTACTGTGTTTACCACAATATTTTAGGAAATTGGTACAGTTTTTACTGTTGAACCAGACATCGTAAATTATAAGTACAAACAAAAATATTCCAACTATAACACAAACTTAAATAATAGTTTTTCCATGTTTTTTGAAAAGGCAGAGACATTTGACTATCGAATAAGCTAGATTTTTTAGACTTATAATGCTTCCGTTTTATTATTAAGGAGTCATTCATGAGAAGTCTATTACATGTATACACATACATATGTATACACAAGAAAATAATGCAGATGAATGTTTGTAACAATCCGGGCATTTTAAATTAAAAATATATTTATTGATAAATTCAATTTGATTTTGTGTTCTAAGAATGAACTTGTTAAAGGGGGGAGGGTACACTCTTGCACAAAGAGAGCATGTCGAATTAAAAAAACCTAGTCTAAAAAGTAAGTTTAAACTTACTTGATTGTGACAATGCATACATTTAGGATTAGTCATTTTGCTAAAAATTGTTATCACCAGGGAGTACGACAGTACCTGTAAATAAGATTTTTGTTACATGTAATAAAATGTGGAAAAGTTCTTATTTATGTAATACTCTGGCTGAACACATCTTGTACAAGTCGACATTTTACGCCTTAAGTTTAAAGGAGATAATGTGGTGTCAATCTCGGAAATCGACAATTTATGGATAAACATATATACCAAGCATGATGATAATAAAAAAAAACTGTGTAGGGTACAACAAAACTGCAAGACAGCAATTACGAATTCTAACAATAAATATTTATTCCTGATAAAGACCATAAACGACAAGACAATAAACAGATTTTCTTGAAGTCTACTTGATAATGAATTTAATTGTTAAAAAAAGAAGATTAAAATGAAATATATCTATTATCGCATTTAAAGTTATTTCTTCCCTAACAAAAAAATAATATGGTAAACCATAGTTTACTATAGTTAATTATAGAACCAAAGTTAAAAGTTTGGAACTTTGATTTACAATGGTATAAACGTTGGAACTTTGATTTACTATAGGAAAAGTTTGATATTTTGATTTACAATGGTAAAAACTTTGGAACTTTGAATAACTATGGTATAAACTTTGGAACTTTGATTTACTATAGTGAAAACTTTGGAACTTTGATTAAGTACTATAAAATCTTTCGAATTTTGTTTCTGCTTCCCATTCAGTACATATTA